TAGTTTTGTGTGCTAGTGGGATTGGCACATGTGTGCGTGTCAGGCAGGATCTGAGAAAATCTATGTGCAGCCCTTTAAGAGGAACACCTGGGACTCCTGTAGCCCCCATGTCACTCAGCCACATCCCTGCTGGTTTTTATAGTGAGGGTTACGGGGACTTTTCTTCCCAGCACTGGAACTCTGGGCTGGGGGCCTGGTGTGGGGCCGGGACGCCTCGCTCCCCAGGGAAACCTTCACAGCCAAGGTATCCCTCCCAGTTTTAAACCGCCATGTGGCTATGGCACCAGCTGGTTGCTTGGTTCTGCCCCTCCTACCAGTCTTGATGTGCTGCTGCTTTAATTCCTTAGTCGTAGGACTTCCGGCTAGATTTCAGGTGGTTCTGAATGATGGTGGTTCTGTATTTTAGTTGTAAATTTCGATGTGGTTGTGGGAGGTGCTGGGTACTGCGTTTACCTATGCTGCTATTTTCCCTACTTCTTTATAAAAAATGTTTTTTATTGATTTGAGAGAGACGGGGGAGCGAGAGAGGAAAAAACCCACATTGATTTGCTGTCCCACTTATGCATTCACTGGCTGGTTCTTGTGTATGCCCTGGCTGGGGATCGAACCCAAAACCTTGGTGCACTGGGACAACACTCTAATCAACTGAGCTACGTGGCTCCAGGAATTCCAAAGTTAAAAAGTGGTCACACTGTGTGTCTATTAGACAGTTCCCAGCAAAGTGCCTACCAGGGTGGGCAGTGAGTTGCACATTCAGCATCTTTCTGTCCGAAAGGGGCAGAGTTGAGGTGCTCTGACAAAGATGGGAGTATCCTGCAGAGCTGAGAATATAGTAGAATTTGGTTCTTTGGGAAGAGGTTGCTGGCTGTGCATTAACATCGAAAATACCCGCTCAGGAGCATGTCTGTGTTACAGCATAATGATCGTAGGCTGCTTTCTGCCTTGATTCAACTGGTGTTTAAAAAGGAGCCATCGTCTTAGCTACAAGAGACCGTGGCTCCAGCAGGGCCGTGGCTCCTGTCTGATGCCCCTGAGCCCCCGGGATCTGAATGGTCTCGAGGGGCTGATGGTGAAAACCCTGGACGTCGACGCCACCTACGAGATCGCCAAGAGATCGCACAACTGGCTCAAGGTGACTGTCCCCGCCAGCCTTCCCACTGAGCCCCAGACCGCACCCCAGCCTTCCCCCTGAGCTCTGGACCCCCTCAGCCTTCCCGCTGAGCCCCAGA